TCCCAGGAGTTTTAAACTCTCAAGCGAGTCCACATTCAGTCCCCAGTAATTTGCTTCAATCCTGATAATTGGCTCCAGCAGCTTCTCCTTTCAGTGAAGTGATTTATATTTTCTGCATTTTCTTTTTTCTTTAGTTTTTGTGGTGGTTTCCCTGTGATCTCCATTCTTTGATGGATCAAAGAAAAGTTGATTTTCAGTTTGCTTAGCATTTTTTCTCTTTGTGAGGATACCCCATTCTTTCCCAAACACACTCCAGATTTTCCACCTCCCCTGTCACTTTGACACTTGTCAAAGTCACCAATGACCACACTGATCACTAAGTCAATGCACAGAGCTCATGTTACTTGACCTGTCTGCACTGACAGCTGACCACTCCTTCCTTCACACTTGACACGACTTCCAGGACATCACGCTCAGATTTTCTTACCTTACTGGCCGCTCGTTGTCTCCTCTGTTGGGTCCTTCACATCACCCTGAACTCGTGGCATCTGGGGGGCTCCAAGACTCAGTCTTTGGACCTCTTCTTCCCATACAACTCACTCTCTCGGTAATTTCATCCAGTCTCATGGCTTCACATACCATCTGTTACACTGACTCCCCTATTTCCATCTTCAGGCCAAGACTCCCTTCAGTTCCGGACTACAATACCCAACTGCCTGTTCAACATCTCCACTGAGATCCTTGCCAGGCATCTCAAACTCATCTATCCACAAATAAATTCCTGATCTTCACCAGCAAATCTCTGCCACCTATAGCTTTTCCCATCTCAACTAGAGAGACAAAAAGAGCTAGAAATCAACTCTGATGCCTCACTTTCTCGTATTATACATGCAATCTATTGGTGAATCCTTGAAGTTTTTACCTTCAAGTTAAGTACAGAATCTGACCACTTACCAGGATTCCAGGTGCTGGCACAGTGCTCCAAGCCAGCTGCACCTATCACCTGAGTTACTGCAGTAGCTTTCTAACTGGTCTGTTTCTACGCTTGCTCACACTCCTAAAACCTAAGATCCTATCACACTTCTGGCTCAAAGCCCTCGAAAGGCTCCCATCTCAGATTAGAAGCCCAAGTTCAAGCAGTCTGCCTCCACCATTTCCCCTCTCGCTATTCTCTCCTATCCCACCTCTTACTACTCTCTTCCTGAGTCACTTCAGCTCTTACTGGCCCCCATGCTGTGCCCGGAGTCCTCCAACATGCTCTCACTCCAAGGGCCCGTCCCCTTGCTGCTCTCTCTATCCAGACTCTCTTCTCTCAAGTGCCCACATGGTACTGCCAAGCCTTTGTCCAAGTGCTATCTTGATGAAGTCTTCTACACTCTTGAAAATTCCACTATCACTCTGCCTCACCTAACTCCCTATTGCCTCTCCCAACTTCTCTCCTTAGCACTTCACTTGTGATAATCCATATCATTTCCTTAGTGTCTCTCTCCTTCCATCAGAATTTAAGTTGCATAAGGGGAGAGATTTACGTTTGTTTTATTCACTGCTACATTCTCAGCACCTAGAAAAACAGTAAGGCCCATCATGAGGTGTGCAATATTTGTTAAGTGAATGAATACTAGGAAACACAACAGGCTGCAAGAAATGGAATGGGAATGAGAGTAAGACACACAATCATCTTTTAAATTCCTACGCAGTGACGATGCATTAATATTAGTTTAGTTTGTTTGTTGATTCAATGAAGGGGGTCAAAAAGAGCCAAGGAAAGAAAAGAAGTAACTATGCTGACTTTGTATTCACAACTTTGGCATCAGAATCTCACTACGTTTTCAATGTGCACTATCCTCTCCAAAGCGCCCTCTGGCTCTGAAAAGTATGCGAATCCTTGGAGTGGTAAACCTTTAGAGCAGACCTGAATATTTACCCGAAGGCTAGGTTGTGAATGCTGAAAGTTGATAATTATCACTAATATTGGTGAGAACATCCTCAAAGCCAGCTCTCTGACCACAAAGCCTCAGCCTGGTTTGCCAGCAAATGTTTTTACTGAGCCAAAGTTCAGGGAGCAGACCATTTGGCTATTCTTACCAGTATCAGAGGGTACCACATCCGTCATACTTAGGGGCGTCAGAACTTAATTTGTTTCCTCCAGTGGACGGAGACAAGAGCTACTAACAGGACTGACACCTTCTATGTAACAACTGAATGCCAACTATGGTTCAAGTATAGTTTTAAGTGGCCTTACATTTTTTGGTTAATACTGCTGTTCCTGCCTTGCTGGTATCACTAGATGCCATTCCAGATATGAGGATGTATAGGAGACGATAATGGAACACGAGGAGGAAAATTAAAATCCCCCAAATAAACCTGTTTCTGTAACAAAATACTGTCTTTTTTATTTTTACTACTGTCTTATTTACTGCATTTTTATAACATGAGAACTGCTGCCACCTGCAGGTCATGCTTATGACAAAGTTAATACTCGATGGGATTTCCAAAATTTCCTTCCAAATTGTTGAATGAATGGTGTTACGATTATCCCATCTAATTAACTCTTTTTTTCTTAACCTAAACAAATAAATAAGTAAAAAAAATTAAGTATATTAAGGGATTTCTAATGTAAACTAGAACCTTCTACTACTAAAAAATGACCTTGCTGGGGCACCTCGTTGGCTCAGTTGGAAGAGCGAGCGGCTCTTGATCTTGGGGTCACGAGTCTGAGCCCCACGTTGGGTGCAGGGATTACTTAAATAAACAACAACAAAAAAATGATCTTGCTGAGATTGCTATATGTCTAGCAAAGGGGCCGCCAAGTGTTTTCTTCATTATCCATCTCCTCTCCTCTCAATAGCAAGAGATGTCTCCACTTGATGCTCACTCATGGGATTCAGTATTTAGCTGAGATTGCAAGCTTATCCTCTCACACCAGGGCAGAGACCTGTGGGTCCAGATGATCCACAAGTCTAATCAACTTATCCAGTTTAGGGGTACCTGGCTGGCTCAGTCAGTAGAGCCTGCAACTCTTGACCTCAGGGTTGTGAGTTTGAGCCCCACGCTGGGTGTAGAGATTACTCAAAAATACAATCTTTTAAACAACAACAACAAACTTATCCAGTTTGATGATTTCCTCATGAAGCTGAGTAGGAAAATGACCATAACCGGTACATGGACTAAAACTCCATACAAAGACAATGAAGTGTCCTAAGAAATAACGGATTTAAAGCCACAAAGAGACATTTAAAAAAATGCAATGATTTGCTGAGCCTGCTAGGATTAGGTCATCAGTCTCCAAGAAAAGGTTTTCAGGTCCTGACCAATCCAGGTACATCAAAATCCAGTGGATGTTTAAGTCATACTAACAATAAAAGTGGATGGCACAACTGTGCCAGCCAAGAGGAGACAAAGAAACAAGATGACTAAATGTAGTATGTGGTATTCTGGATGGAACCCAGGAACAGCTCAAGGTCAACAGGAAAACACTAAGGAAATCTGAATCAAGTATGGACTTTTGTTACTAATAATGTTCATTATTGTGACAAATGTACTATACTAAGATGCCAGTAACAGAATGGAAACGTGGAACATACGGGAACACTGTACTACCTCTGCAATTTTTCTGTAAATCTGAAACTTCTAAAAATGTTTACTTAAAAAAAAATGGGACAAGATGCAATTCAAATGACAATTCAAAAGCGGGCCCTTAAGTCAGTTCAGTCACAAGCTTAAAAAGTCAAAAACTTCCATTTTGATTTTAAAAGTTATTTAGTAGCTTATTTTCATCTGTATGTTCTAGACTCAAAACTTTTATTTAAATCAAGAGATGCAGCCTCTTCAAACTATAATTTTGAGCACGATGAACTGGCAGTCTGTACAGGGACCCTTGGCTCTCTCGCTCTCATCAAAAGGACACATGAGGTTCATGTCAATGTAGGACAAATCTTGGCCCACTTGTTTAAAAAAAAAAAAAAAAGGCCTTCATGAAATTAAGCTAAGTATAAAACTCTTTATTCTGGAGCGCCTGGGTGGCTCAGTCGTTAAGCGCCTCCCTTCGGCTCGGGTCATGATCCCAGGGTCCTGGGATCGAGCCCCACATCGGGCTCCCTGCTCTGCGGGAAGCCTGCTTCTCCCTCTCCCACTCTCCCTGCTCTGTCTTCTTTTTAAAAAAATCTTATTTTGCTACCAAGCCATTCACCAAACCATAAGGAAAGACAACTTTTCCCAAAAAGCTGTGTCTCTGTCAAGTAAATAAATAAAATCTTTAAAAAACAAAAAAATTCTTTGTTCTTTCATATAGTTTCTTGATACGCCAACCTTCCACAAACTCAGGTATTTGATAGGGCATTCAGGGGGTTATCCCGATTTTTCATTTTACTCAGAGACAAAAATACTCTACCCAAAATTACACCATCTTAAAATTACCTCGTAACTCATGCCTCAAAATTAAGACTTTACAAGCCCTATTGTCTTTGTTAAAATTGCAAGGTGAAGATTTTGTACCTAAGGAAAAAAGGATGAAACATTCAAATGAACAAACAAGTCTGAGACTAACCACTTGCTGTGTTTTTTAAAATCATAAAGAGAAACCTCCCATTTCTTTCACAAAACTTCATGATGAAGCTTTCTTTCCTACTTCCACTATATCATCAACATAATGTACAAAAGCCTAAAATAAAATAACCTCTATCAAATACCAACTAGTCCATGAACTGAGGAGCTTCTGAATGGCTACTACTAAAAAAATCTCCACTGAATTCCTATTCAATCACAGAGCCACTCTTCTTAGGTGTATACTGTATAATTATTTTAATTTCCATTTCTTGTATTCAACTTATTCTTTAACTTTAGTTCTTCTATAAAATGTGCAAAATGAAAGCTCATGAGCCATATGGTTCAAACAAAATATGGGCACTAAAACCTAAATTCAGTCACGAGTCTGGATAAGAGAGGAGGTGCTATTCTATGACTTCTTTCTGCTCACTTTAAGAATATGTGTTACACGCCATACAGTTTTTTAAAATGTGATCAGTTGCCTTGGAGACAGAATAGCAGGAACTCTGCTCTGATTATAAGACAATTTTTAAATTACTTTTATTTTAAGATTAAGCAGCCTCATTGACAATCCAGAAACAGTCTTCGCTGACTCTGGATATACACACACACATAAAATGGTTAAAAGTGATTCCCCAATTTTCAATGACAATTTGGGAAAAAAGAACATGTTCATAGCTGAAGCTGTATGCCTCTGTCTTCTTTTTCAAACAATCTTATTTTGCTACCAAGCCATTCACCAAACCATAAGGAAAGACAATTTTTCAAAAAGCCATCAAAACCCAGAAACAGGGATCTAGGAATTAAAATTATCCCCCCAAACAGTGCTGTTACAAAAAAGGGTAGGAAGCCAAATTTCCGTAGCTCATTAGAGAAGACCTTTAAAAAGTATACAGAAAATGAGGACTGGAACTACAATGGTGTGGAGTTCAAAATGGAGGTAATTCAAGAACGTACAGCTTGTTCAGCTTGGGAATATACTTGGCTTTTTCTTACTCCAGCAGAAATAAAAATATGAGCTGCTGGAGTTAATATTAAAATTGTCCTTCCAGATGGAAGGTAGGGTAAGAGTGAAGGGAGAGAAGGTAGAACAAAAGGTAGCAAAGACAAGTCATTTTGAATCTAGGCTCTATGGCCCAGAAGAGCTGAATGGGACTAACATTCTTCTGGGCCAGTATCATTATATTCTAGACTTGGCTCAAAACCAGTGGACTGCACACCACTAATAAATACCACGTGACCCACAGTGTTTGTGGCATTAAAAATATTTTTTAAATTATCTATAAATTTCTATTCTGAAAAGCAGTAGATCAAAATGACACTGGGCCATCCAATCAGTTAGAGTAAAGGGCTTCCTCCAAAGAAAACTAACTTGGCAGAAACGTAGGTTCAAAGGAATGTAACACGGAGTTAATGAGATCAGGCTCTCAGTACAATTTTAATAAGGCTTCCTTCTACCCAGCCCAGTTATAAGGAGTAGTACTGAGGGGACTCCCACACAATGCCTTAGAGGGATGCTTTCAGATAAAAAGGACTATAATTTTAATGCTTTACTCCTCTCCTCACCTAAAGCTTGGGGAAGAAAATAAATATTTACTTTTTAACTATTCAGAGCTTCGGGCACACTGTAGTATTTAATATTCTCTAGTTTTCATTTTCTGAACCTTTGGCTTATAATTTTCTCTATGTTACACTGAAAAACATAAGAATGTGCCTTGATCAGTAGTACCACACGAAAATATAAACCTTGTTCTTCCACATCTTCTACAAAGGAAGAGTGAATTAACAGTACCCTAAATATCCTGCAAAGTTATTTTGTGTACGCGACAAAAGATTAGGGCAAACCATTCCACTTCCTTATCTTGAGTAGGAGGAGTTAATTAGTCTTCAATCTCATCTTCCCAAATATCTCCATTAACATCCACAGCATGGAACAACCTGGAAGCATAAAATAAGGTACATTTGTAGGCACTTGGGAAAAATTTAGTATCATCTCTTTCCTTCTCCCAAAATTACTTTCTGTACTCTTCTGAAAACATCTTTGTGTATCTTTTCCTTTCCTTTAATCACTACACTGGGGAGGGCTGAAATCCGGCTCCCTCTGAACAAGCTGTCTTAAAGTTTACAAGAATAGCCCTTTTCAGATCCAGACAACCTCTCTAGGGCCAAGGATTAACAATAATTGGAAGTGGGTTTCAAAAAACTGATACTCAATGTACACAGTAAATGGAATTAAGCCAGGATTGGGGAAGTCAGGCAATCTAGAAAGGGAACTCTTCCAAACCACCATAACTCTATTACATGTGAATCACTCTACTCTCTGCTTCACTGTCCTTGTACTCTCCTCTGGTATAATGTTTCATAGCTGCCAACTTGTTTTCCTTCCCTATGTTACCTAAAATTTATGCAATTTTCAACACTAGATTTACAATGATTCACAGAGCTTGTTTCTTCAACTTCTCTTATACTTTAGTAACACCAATGACTGTAGATACTAGACAGATGCCTCTTCACAAAGGTCATCAACTGATGCTGAAGTCAGAGCTGCTGAAAAACAAGATATTCACACACCCCAGAGATTACTTACTAACAACAAAAAAGAAAACTTACATTTACGATGGAGCAAACAATAGAATTGAGCAGCATACTAACGTGGGACAGCCTGACATTATGGACCTAATGTGATACAATATGAAGTACACAAGTATTTTTGTCAAAAATGTTACTCGAAATCTATTCAAACTCAGTCTAGATCTAACTTCCAATTTACAGGAAATAGGACAGAAAAACTAAAAGACAACAGGGAGGAGCAAAAGTCTAGAAAGTAAGATGTTCTCTACAGGACAAGTGGTCTGGCCTCTCTCAAATGTCAACGTTCCCCTCAACACATATGAAAAAAGGCGGGCAAAACTCTTCTATATTAAGAGACTGAAGAGACAGAACCAAATGAAATGTTTGAACTTGATTATATCCTGGTTTGGTTTTAAAAACAGCTTTAAAAGATTTTTTAGGGATAACTGGGAAGTTTGAAAACATGTTTATTAGATGATAGTATGCCATCATTGTTCAATTTAAGTACTGTTGTTACGTAGAAGAATTTTCTTATCTTAGGAGACAATGTGGAAGTATTTAGAGATAAAGCATCCTATCTCCAACTTAGGATCAAGTATTAGAAAACAAATATGACAAGATACTATCACTTGTTCATTTTGGTAGACGGTATCCTACTAATCATACTCTTTCAACTTTTACCTCTTCTGTATGCTTAAAAATTTTCACTATAAAAAGTTGAGGATAAAAAAGCAAATTTCCAGATAGCATATCTTTCATCATAAACTCACTTTCAAGAAAATATAAAAGACCGTATATGTGTAAGAAAATATGTAAGAGAATTCTCTAAGCAAAGTGGTCTACAAATGAGTACTAAAAACTGCTGCTGAGACCAGAGGATGGTGTATACATACCGGTTAAAACACGGGGAAGCAGGATCAGTGAAATGTTTATAAGGGTTTGCTCTAGAGAGAGAACCCATGCAAATCCAGCAGAAATACTGCATACAGCCAGTACATGTCATCTTGTTACAGCCATCTAATTTCTGGTGGAAAAGAAAGAGAATAGTATCAAGGCTATAAAAGCAAAAGAGAAAAGCACATGCCAAAAAGACTGAGTACAACCTTCTCCTAGTCATCTCCTTTCTCCCCATGCAGGGCTGAGATATACAGGTAACACACTGTAACTATTAAATGCTTTCCTCTGTTGCAAGTAAAATACAGAAAATATTTAGCAGGGGTACCTACAACTAGATACTTCCCCAAATCTTTTCTGTTTAACAGTAGACACAAACCAAACATGTACATTATAAGCCCCAATGTGTAAATTAATATTAAAATGTCTGGACTTAATATGTGTGACTTGAAACTTTTTACACAAATCTAAGTAAACATTTGGTACCAAGTCCTCCACTGTAATATAGGGCTGAAGCATGTCTGACGTGGTTAAACAGAAGGCCAGCTTCCTTAACAGAGTAACTGGGGAATCACCACCAGTTACAGTTCAGACATAATGGACTGGAATAGGAGAATCAAATGCAAAGATAAATTCCAACTTTAAAACATAATTACGATTTTATCAAGACGCAATAGACTTAAATGTCTATTTTGGCTCAGATTAATAGGAAAATGTCTTCACTTCCTAAATTTATACTTCTTAAGCAGGTGTGTTAAGTTCCAGATACATAGTTCTAAGAAGTCAGGCTTGATTTTTGTTTTATCATGTAGATGAGTTAAGAGTTAACTGTAGCTCTACGAGGGCTTTCTCATAACCCATTCAATTTTGTTATGGATAAAATGTGTGAACAATTTGCAATCTATGAAAGCATTTTAAAAAGGTAAGTCTATATACATTGAAGATCAATAACAATATTTACTAGTGAATATGCATTTTACAAGTAAGAAGGTTTAATAAATGTGTTTTCTTAGTCATAAAATTAATAGGCTTCTTAAGGCAATCCTAATAAGCCTGTAAGTCTGTCTGCCAAGTCCGGCCCAAACCTTTACCTCTATGGGAGTCCCACAGCACGGGCAGCTCTTTGAGTTCTTTTCTAGCCATTCCTTGCTTTCCATCTCTTCCAGTGCCTTCTGAATCACCCTCTTACCATACCTCTGTTCCAAAAATCTTTTATTGGCCTCATCTGCTTGCAGGTACTCATTTCGTAAGTCCATTAATTTCTCTGGAAAGTGAAATGGAAAATTAACTTTGATACAACTTTGCAAAGCTGACTAAAAACCATTAAAAAAATGGTCATAACCTTTGATTATTCAATAATGCTATTGCTGGAACTATAATCATGAGGAAAGAATCCAAAGTACAGTTATATGCATTGAGATGCCTATAACAATGGAAAACAAATTAAATGTCCAGCCACATGTGAAAGAGCCATTTAATGACATACTTAGTTATTAAAAACTTATGAGATGGCTACAACTCAATTAAAATACTCATTACAGAATCCAGAAAAAGGCAGATGTAGGTTATGACTAGGTAAAAATGACACACGTACAAATGACAAAGAATGTATAAGAACACTCCAGCTAGAGAAGGTGAACTTGTGCAAGGTGTTCGAATAAGAGGTCATCTTTTTTGTTGATTCTGACTTATTAATGTTGGCACATTTGGGCAACTAGTAGCATACAGTTAAAGACTGACTTAGCTAAAAGACACAAAGGTTGAAAGAGACACTGATTTTCCACGAAGTCAGCATCATTCATCATTTGACAATAACAAGGCCTAAAAGTAAACGAAAGCATCTTTGGCTCAAGAGCAAAGACCGTTCAATTCTGTAGATAAAAAAAAAAAGTCAGTGACTAAAATTTACCACCCACAGGTACTGCAAAAGTTCCTCCTGTCAAACTTTCCCCTGATATTCTTCAATCTCACTGCACTGTTCCATCACTTAACTCAGATGGAACAGGCAGCCATTCACAAGGGCTTTACTTGTAGACAAAGGCTTTTGTTCACATTCTATCACCTTAATTTTTCAACACGATTAACTGAAGACCTCTCTCAAGAGTGCTGTAGTTGTTTTATTAGTTTACTCTCCTCGTACTATTTAGACGTCTGACTCCCTTTTTATGCCACGGATCTTTTGGGGAAGATTTCTTTCTCTGTACTGTGCACTCCCATGGCTCCATCACCTCTATTTAGATGGAGCACACATGTATCTTTTTATCCTGTCATTTTTATCCTTCTAAAAATTCAAAGCATTTTTGTGTTCCCAGATTTCTTAAGGACAAAGATTATTGCTCTAACATTCTCAAAATAATTGTTAGTAGTTCATATATTTCATATAGTAGTATCTGATATGTACAGATATATACAGATACAGATAGATACAGAAAGAGATTCTTAATTTTGCTAAAGCCCCCAAGCTTCTTTGATTTCTTCCACAAATGCCATGAAACACCTGAGACATACGTACTTCATCCTCTCAACGATAAGGTTACAGAAGTCTAAAGCAATTCTCCACCCCATCTGCCCATACCCACTACAAGACTCTGCTCTGGGCAACTGAAGAATCAGTTAAGGTTACTCTGTTGGAGGTAGTAACACTGCTAATAGGCGTAGTTAGTAACTATCGTAATAATGACATTAACGGTTACCATTTTGCATTTTACATAGATTAGCCTGTTGTTCTCAAACTATCCATGGTAAAGGACCAGTTTTTTCCCCCACCACTCTGCCAAGGACCAAAACTTATGCAAAATACAATCAAATGAATTATTAGAAAAATTATACAAAGACAAGAAACATAAGTTTAAATTTTTATGAGATCTGACATAAAATTACTCTGTGAAATCGCTGTAACTTTCTAGCCCTGACTCTCCATTTCTTTATTTATCTTGTCACAGACCAGTGTTAAGAACAATACGAGCGGGGCGCCTGGGTGGCTCAGTCGTTAAGCGTCTGCCTTCAGCTCAGGTCATGATCCCGGGGTCCTGGGATCGAGCCCCGATCCGGGTTCCCGGCTCAGCGGGAAGCCTGCTTCTCCCTCTCCCACTCCCCCTGCTTGTGTTCCCTCACTCGCTGTGTCTCTCTCTGTCAAATAAATAAATAAAATCTTAAAAAAACCCCAAAAATACAAGCTTCAAGTAGCACTATGATAGTTTATTTATCCTTAAAATAACCCTGTGAAATAGCTATTATCATTACCCCTGTTAGTATAAGAAAGACTAAGCTATCAAAGTCCAGTTAAACTGAGGTCAGAGGCCTGATTTCTCAATCCCTGTTTAGATCAGAATTATAAATAGGTTTCACCTCCTTGGCCGCTTCAATAAATGCTTCTGAAGCACTGAAGGTTGAGGAAGATTCTGAGGCGTTCCTGGACTCAATGATAAAGAACTTGATGGCTGATCAGACATACATGCCATGGAAACAAGGGTGGCAGCTAAGACGGTCTTGCATCGGCCAACCAGGAGCTGCATTATCCCATGTTCATAGATAGAAACTACCTTGCCATTCCTTCTCTGTCATGTTCCCCTCCCCCCACCCCCGCCAGCCAACTCCATGGCTTGTTTCCTTAGTTCCTTCAAGTCTTTATTCAAACCACTTTACCACTGAGGTCTTCCCTTTATTTCCCTAAGTAAAATCCCAAGCCACTTCAGAACATTTCATATCCTGTCCCTGATTTACTTTTTTTTTTTCCTCCATAGCACTTACGAGCATCTAATATTCTTATTTTGTTTGCCTGTCTCCGCCATTAAAATTTAAGTTCCATGAGGGTATTTGGTTACTACCCTATCTCCAGAGCCCAGGACAGTAACTGAAACAAAAATATCTGTTGAATGAACAATTCCATATCGCACAATTTAATTTCTTGGGGCGGGTGTGTGTGTGTGTGTGTGCGTGTGTGTGTGTGCGCGCACGCACAGAGGACAGGAGGATGGAGTTCACACAGTGACAACTCACCTGCAGTCACCTTACATGGAGAGACCCCGTGGTAAGTCAATCTGCACAAGGTACAGAAGGCAAAATTGCAACTGGAGCAGATGCCCATGGTGCAGCCGGGCTCCTGCATCACAGGCAACTGGCAGCACGGGCGGGGACAGTACACCACATCTGCCATCAGGTCCAAGGTGGACTGGAGGAGAAGGCGGTCGTAACGGGCAAATAACTCTGTTTCCACTAGCTCTTTGACCTGGAGGGAAATAGAGAACACACTAATGTGAGCATTTCCCAACCAGTTCTGATTCTGAGGAGATCCTTAAAATGCTGGTGCCAAGTAGATGCACATGAACTAGAACTCTCTCTCTTACTTCAAAATCAAACCAAATGTGGCCAAGTCTATACCTTGACTGAGATGGTGGCTACATGGGTATACACATGTGTCAAAGCTGAGCGAACTGCACACTTTAAATGGGTACATTTATGGGTTAATAAAGATTTAAAAAAAAAAAAAAGGTCAAACCAAGGATGCTGTCCCTGATTCTGTTCACCATTCCAAGGAATATGCCCTTCGGATCCCAACCTCACACAAAGGCAGGCTAGTGATTCTCCAAGGTTGATGGGATCCCAGCAGATAAAGTAAATCATCAGAACACGTTATAATTACTTTTCTGACACTCATCCCTGCCAAGAACTGCTCATGCCGAGGCCAGCAGAGGAAGCACTTACATTTGCTTCAACAATTGAGTAAGACCAAGGCATTCTTTTTTTTAAAGATTTTATTTATTTAACAGAGAGAGACACAGTGAGAGAGGGAACACAAGCAGGGGGAGTGGGAGAGGGAGAGGGAGAAGCAGGCTTCCCGCAGAGCAGGGAGCCCGATGCGGGGCTCGATCCCAGGACCCCGGGATCATGACCTGAGTCGAAGGCAGACGCTTAACGACTGAGCCATCTGGGCGCCCCTAGACCAAGGTATTCTTGATCGATACCTTGGTATCCATGAAACTACTTGCGGGCTGGCTCTAAGGCCTCAGCCTGCCCCGAGGAGCCCTATCAAAGAAGTTCCTGAGAAGATGTCTCCCTTTGTGAAAGAGAATCAGGAAGCGGCTATCAGCAGAGCAGAGGATTACCTGACCAGGAGTGGCCGCCGAAGGGCACTTGGGTTCTGGGCAGTTGAGGCACTGAACTTGGCCGTCTCTGATCTGGATTTCAAAGTAGTCCTTTAGACAGGCTTTGCAGTACACATGCCTGCACTCCAAGAAGTACATGCACTCACTACCCAGCTTCTCACAGAAACAGATATTGCACAGGAACAATTTACTGTTAAAGCATTTTATCTGCCGAGCTTGATCAAAGTCCAAGATTTCCTGGATCAGACTGGACAACGATTCCACATCCTGTACAGCTCTCTCATCCACAGCCTCCTCTTGATCTGCATCCGATCCAGCAGCTCCTCCAAAATCTAGCTCTGTGCTGGCAGAGGCCTGAGCCGTCCTTCTCTGAACCTTTTTCTGAGAACCCATCTTGAGCTCAAACGGAGAGACAATATTCAGGTATGCTAGGGTCTCTTCCTTAAGGAACTGCATCCAAGCAAACAGGACCACACTGCCACGGTGTTCTTCCCACAGGTTGTCTAAATGCTTGCAGAGGGCAGAGAGCTAGGAGAGAGCACAGGAGGGCGCCGGTGAGTGTGGAAAGGTGAGGGTACTGTCAACTCCTCATTTCTCTGGAAATCTTTTTAACTTCTAAGCTAAGCCCTTACAACTCCTCACGTGATCTTAGTGGAGCACTTCTTACACTATCCAACAACGTGAGTCACCGCAGAACACACAGTCAGAAGCTAAAAGCAGCAACCTGAAACTGAGAGAAATGGCAACACTGTAGGTTTACATAGGAGCCACTGAAATGGAGGATTTTGTCTATGTTTGTTGTTGTGGGATTGCTACCTATCTCACGCAGGAGAAAGAGACGGAGCTCTAAAATGAACTACTTCTACTCCTTTGGAGTCCTACTCCTGCAGGTAGCCTGCACCATGGTTAGGAGGAGAGCAGTTTAAAAACATCGTCCAAGTTATTAACTCTAACTTTTTCAGTCCCATCAAAAGGCCAACTCATGTGAAAGAATCACTAACAGAATCCAACCTCAGAATCCTCATCAGTCAGATTCACAAGCTGGTCTTAACTAAGCAATCTGGGCTTACATGAGATCCTGGTTAACGGAGGGAGACAGACTGATACGGAACCTGGACGTGATTATAAGCCCTCAACGTGGTTTCACACCTCCTAGGCTAAGCAACCAAAGTTTAAACTACTTTGACTTTTCCTCTTTAAAGGTGGTTTGTTCAATATGAAAGGGAAATATAAGAGGATTTTCCATTAGAAATGTAAAATATTGGTAAGTAGAGCTCAGGAATTATAATCAGCTTTCTTTTTAGCTAAACATAAAAAAATAAGCCTTCCAGATGCAGACAAATTGTGTAAATTTAAATAACAAGTGAAAAAGGACCACATTTTCTATTCCTTGCTCTACATAGTGCCATTCACTAAACCCTACATAGGCACAAACATAAACACTTCCTGAACTTAAAAACTTATTATGTTAAATACCACGCAAAATGCTTTCTCACATTTACATGAATATGCTTCCAAGATCAATCATACTTCTGAGAAACCTGCTGAAATGTGTAAAATTTAATAAATACTAAAAGGGGAGCTCTGAGTGCTATTTGAGCCACCGAGTCCAATGAAGAAGCCATTCTCCTCCATCTTCTTTTCCAGCCTCTCTCAGGTGAGGCAGCTGGGGCGCACACAAATGTGAGGTCGGGGGAATTGAAAAAGGAAAAGAGTAAGAGAGAGACTGTGTTTGTATATATAGTGGGAGAAGTATAATGGAGAATACTATGAGGCTAACCTCACTTCCCTTCTCTGTACCAACCCCAATCCAGGGAAAGACAGGACTATGCGTCAGCTTCTCTATCAACAGGTGAGATTCACAATGACAAGGAATCAGGGCCCGGCAAACAACAAGAATTGAACCAAGAAGGAATATGAGGCCAATTAAAATGTCGATCATATGCACAAGAATTTATTTGATAGAGAATCCTATTGTAATTTCGGCTGTAACACATAAAATAATGAACAACTCTCTTCCCCCCACACTCCCAAAAGACAGCAGTATGTCGATGCTACTTGGCCGGAATCTGAAACTGCAACCACACTCGCAGTGAATCGGTCCTTGTTCTGTGCCTGTGTGAATGCATGTGCACACAGGCATGGATATAAAGTATCAGGAGCTCTCTGGAGAAATGAGATTATCCGTATCTAAATAATTCAGTCAACTCTCTGTGATCTAAATGTCAAACAGCCTTGATATTCTTGGACAAATAATCCATTGTCTTGCATATATTTCCTCTGGCACAGTTATCAGCATGTTAGGCAATATTCCTTTTTTATTCGACATGTGTTATCCTTTTTTAAAATTAAATTTTGTTTTTCAACCATAGGCTCAATTTTACAAAAGGACTCTCATCTGAAAGATTAGACTGGCCAGTGGGATAGAATGAAAACTCCATGGATCAAAAGGGAAAAACCGACAAGCTGTTCCTTGAGGTCAAGTAACTCTGACAGCTTTTGTCTTAATATACATCAGCCTATCAATCTTCATCATGACTTCTAGAAGTAGCTGCTATTGATCCATTATGTATCCCAGAGTACTTTCTATTAGCTTCAAGTCATATTTACGTCTCAATCAAGAGCCGAGGTTGTTACTAGAAAAGGCTATGTAAGCTGGAGGAAATGAAGGCTTCATAATACGAGGTTCATGAGAGAGGAGATGTAGGAATCATACACATTTCTATTTGTGTGCATTTACATCCACGGGAGACCAGTCAACAATTATTTGTCACTAATACACAGATCTCTAAAAATAAAAGCACTTACTACGTTTACTTAGGAACTGAGTTTATTCTAACTACATCAGCTCAATTTTAGCCCTCCTAATTACAGTTAAATCTTTCATTAGGAATGGCTAAGAAACTAAGAATAAAAAGTAATACCAACATCTAAGGAAAATGAGGAGGACCTTATCCTCTCTATTACAACGCAGACTAAATGGGAAAACAGCAAGATAGGGAAAAACATACATACTTGATTAAAAATTATCCCTACTGCAATTCATAGTGATTAGTCACCCTCGTCACTGCCATTCCTTTCTACAACACCCAACATTTTCAGTTCATTAACAGTAGGATTCATGAAGGCGAGGGGAAAGAATTACAAAATCAAAGCCATCTGTTCTTCATGCACTGAATTCAAGATCATCAAGGTAGTCTTCAATTAAAGATGATTTTTCAAAGTTTCTAAAAATGGATAAGAGAAATTAAGTTTCGGGTCTAACCTGAGTTGGTGACAGCCATTTGCCACTAAGTGTGAATGAAGGTGGGGAGGAGGATGGATAATCTGGTGGCAGTTCAAAGTTCAGCACAAGTGGAGGCAGAGAGCAAATGGTGTATTCAAAGCCACCATTCTGGAGACACTCATTTGAATTGCCTGAACCAAAAACAAAGATTAGAAAGAATCAGCTGGTCAACACTTGAGTGTCCATTACCGTTGAGCGGTGCTCAAGAAAGACTAATGCTTTAGTTGAGGGGATAAAAACCCTCCCCCAAAGCACTTTCTATTTCCTAATGTTCACTTCGTAGCCGCCACCTTAAAAAAGAAAATCCTGTAAGCCCTTGAGAAATCTACTAAGCACCGTGAAATTTCTAATGAAGACACATAACTTATTCTCGTATACACTCTTGAATACAATTCCTAACACTAACTAATAAGCAAGTAATACACCAATGTTTTCTTGTTGTTGTTGTTTTACAGGTGATTACAGACACAGTCTAGAGAAAAGGACTTTTATTTCTATTAAAGAGCCATGACCTACTTAGAGCGGCATGTGCCAACTATCCATGAATCATAGCTGGGAGAATTTGTGCCAACACAATGATCTCAGGCTTGAGGGCAAGATACAGTACACAACACTCTCACAATCAAAGTTTCATTTTAAATGATCACACTTACTTTCTTTACTCAATGCCTTTATAGTAGAAACTTTTTGAGAAAGTGTGCACCAAAGTCTTCTGTGAGTTTGTATCAAAAGCAGCAGTTTTGGTTTTTTTCTGAAGCAAAAGGTCACAGAGTAACAGCATATGTCACAGGTTTATGGTAGTTGAAATGATTCTGGAAACCAAATAGTATTAACAACCACCATGGTACTTTAAAACCTTCTAAGCGTTTTCACATACATTATGTCATTTTCTCTTTTATTATCCCTATTTAACAGCCAATGATTCATAGCTGATAAACTGCTAGTTAAGACGATTAGAATGCATGAAATATGCAGGATAATATCCCAATTCAGTGGTCAAAAGGCGAATCAAATTGAGAACTATTTACCCTCAGTCCAATTTTCAATTAAAATAGAAACATGCATTCAATCTGTAATACTACCATCTACCACTAATGCCTATAAACACAAGATGGCAAATAATTTAGGGAACACTAAGAAATTGAGAATAACATTTAGAAAAATCTGTTCAAGAGAATCTTATTAACTAACCGCTCACAAATATCTTGAAATTTTGTGGCAGGTCCAAATAGATCCTGGTTTCTCCACCTTGCACAGACTCTGCTTTTCTAAATTCATCTCCATCATAAATACTCGCCAGGGCCAGCAATTCATCCTCCTGAGCTTCTCGATCTTCTGACGACATTTAATTTTCTGAGGAGCTGAAGACAATCATTCAAATTAGTTAAGAATAGAAAAGGCACAGAGTTTGGAAAAGTCTAGTGGCACCAAAAAAAAAAAAAAAAGGTAAAGTTCTTCACAAACAACTGCAAAGAATCAAATTTCCCACTTTTCTGCTAAACTAGAAATGATAAGGCCTATCTAGTATTCCAGTAGCTTTGCAATAGTAATGGCTTTTTCAAAAATGATGGTTGCGGTGCTTCTAATTGCTGACTTCATCAGTTAGGTATCACTGATTTACGGGAAAAAAGCATAATTTAAAAAAAATTTTTAAAAAGGACCAAACATTGGGGCACCTGGGTGACGTAGTCAGTTAAGCTTCTGACTCTTGGTTTCGGCTCAGGTAGTGATCCCAGGGTCGTGGGACTGAGCCCTGTATCAGGCTCCAATGTCAGCTTGGAGTCTGCTTGAGTTTCTCCCTCCCTCACTGCCTGTCCCTCCTGCTCAAGCTCTGTCTCTCTAAAATAACAAATAAATCTTAAAAAAAAAAAAAGACAAATCACAAATTATTTTGACTTGCCCACCAAACCAGCAAAGTGCCTTGCTCACAGAAGGATTAAGTATATGTGATATACTTCCTAAAAAATCAATAAATTTTTTAAATGCACAGAAATCTCTAGGGCAGGTTTTCTTAACCTCAGTACTATTGACACTTTGGAACAAATAATTCTTTGTGGCGGGAGGCTGTCCTGTGCCCTATAGGGTATGTACCAACATCCCTGGCTTCAACCTACTAGATGTTAACAGCATGCCTCCCCCTCAACATAGCCAAATGTGCCCCCCCCAGGGGTGCAGCGTGGGGACTGAGGTGAGAACACCCTGTTCTAGAGAACGTTACAGAGACAGATACTATAGGAGAGGGTTAGATATTGAGAGGCTAGCAAAGGAACATTCAATTTTTCAGATACAACACTTCATCAAAACAATAAGATTTACCATTATTTTAGGCAAAACTAAGAATGAAAATATGCTGCAATTACAATGTGAAATCGATGCTTTTTAAGCGCATCAACTAAAAGATGCACCACAATTTCAGATAATGTATATGTAGAAAAATATGTAATGAGAATCTATGAAAATTACTTTATTAAGGCAAAAACAAATTACCATTCTGTCAATTAAAATACTGGACTATAACTGGATTTGCAAATGCCCCCTCTCAACTAAAAATTTTTTATTTGAAATGTGCACAGCTGAAAAGTTAGGACATTATAAAAGGTGACACTACAAAATTTGAACAAGTTCATTTAAAATGACTCCGTTTTCAAAATATATTTTTTTGCCAGATGATCTTGATTCTGCTTAAGCGGCATCCCTATCCCAAACAGAACACAGTGACATGTTCCAGTTGAGGTGAGTTAGTACCTGTTAATAACAACCAGAAGAAAAAGATATTAACAATGCGGTCTGCTTTTCAGTTCAGAATTTGGAATTTATGCAAATCCCATTTATCCTCCAGAAGGTGGAGATGAGACTGTTGAAGTTGGATAAAAGGCCAAGATCTGGAACTCATGCTAGATATACTATAGAAATCCTGCCATCTGCAGAAAAAAAATACAAAAGATGGTTAGGACACTCTCCAAATTTAAATTCTGAATTTCTGTTATTACCACTTAAGTCAAACACATCCTAACACACAGTCAATGCCAATCTACAGCTGCATATTACTTTCTCTAGGAGAGCCTAACTGAGCCACGTGGTTAAAGGGGTATTTGCAGGTCCCCAGCAATGAGACAAGCCTTATCTGACTGCCTTCAGCCCTGGGAGGAGCCAAGGTGGAATACCAAGGTCATATGCGAGGTGAGCACACCAAGTCCCATAACAAACATCTAAACATCTTCTTGGGTTTGTTTTTGTTTTTGTTTCTTCTTTCCTCTTCAGCTTCTTCTCTTTCTTCATTTCCTATCCCCCTTCCAGTTTTTCCTCTCACCTACTAATGAATCAACCCTGCTAGGGACACTCAACATTAGGTCAATTTAACCATGACAGCAAGATATTTAAAACAAAACAACAAAAGGGTGCACATGCATGCACACATACATACTTTTAAGTTCTATTCTGGAAGTTTTAGAGCCAGACTTCTCAACTGGGAGTAAGGGGGAAGGGGAGGGTAGTCTACAGATGGATTACGGAGAGACCTAAGAACACTATGAAGTTATATGCAAAAACATTATATGAAACGGTAATTTTTAAACCAGATTCTCAGATGTGTGACTCCCAAATAAGCTAAGAATGAAATTCAGAATCATTTACATTTATGGAGCACCTACTCTATATTGCATTAGGTCCTTTCACATTATTTTATTTAATCTTAAACAATTTTACCAGACTTAGTGTGTGATGATAACATGATTAAGTTTCTGTTTCTTCCTGTTTGAACAGTTATAAATGGGGTGAAAGATGAATTCATGATTCTGGTTTAGGTTAGTGTTCTCCATCTTGTCTGCACATTAGAATCACCTGGAGAACTGCGTTTTAAAGTGTCAATACCCAGGCCATATTCTAGAGCAATTAAATCAAGCATTAATAGTTACCCAAGCTCTCCAGGTGATTCTTAAGTGCAGCTAGGATTGAGAAGCTCTACTCCAAGCAGTGTTTCCCGTAAACAGCTCCTCATAACCTACCTCACCAGACCCCTGCTTCTAAAGCTGTCACCTGGTCCCAGTCCCTTAATTCACATGGCAGACCCACACTTCATTTTCATTTTATCCACTCAGCCTTCAAGAGACACGTCCAAAGGCCCCATTCTATGTAGAAATTTTACATGTCGTCCTTAAAAATGCAGCCAATTTTTTTTTTTTTACTGTAACTTTCCTATGACATTATCACATCCCACTTTGCATTATAGCAGTTTCTGAGCTTGCACCGCCAGACTGCATTAGCTCCTTAAGGGCAAGTATCACATCTTATGCATCTGTGCGTTGTTCTCACCATCTAGCAGTGCCTTGTGTTTGACACTGGGGAAAAAAAAAATGGAACTGAATGGGTGTGAGATGCAGTGTGCTGAAAATTGGGGGCCAGAATCTTAAGGTTCAGTGACTGCTCTGCCACATCCCACTAGAAGCAGGATTCACAATAACACCAAGAAAAGTAACACTTACTGGGCTCTTAAGCCCGTGTCAGGCATTGTGCTAAGCCCTTTAAATGCATTAACTCCTGTTAGATTCCCACAACTCCATGAAGCAAGTCCTCTTACTGCTTCCATTACACAGATGAGAAAAACGACAGTTTAAGTCCCTTTCGGGCCCAAGGTCACACCGCTAAGAGATAACTAAATCTGGGTTCAGACCACTGTTTCTTCATCTGTAACCCAGCAACAAGAATACACCCCGGCGCCATCAGATGAGAGAGAGACATATTAGCCTTTGCAAACGGGAGACCGCTACACCAGGGAGGGAAGCCCTCCTCCGCCGGGTTTCCCTTCCGCCTGGGAAAATCCAACTCATTCTCCCAGGCCACGCCGTGCAAACTGCAGAGCTGGGGTCAGCCCTGGCTCCGGAATCAGCACGCCGCCATGGGTGTCTCCCCCGCTCACCACCAGACGTGCCGAGTCGTTGGTCCGTGCGACTCACCTACAACCTGGGGGCAAGCCCCAGCCTCGCTACCTGCCCCAGCCCTTGGACACAGAGGGCGCTGTACGAACGTGGGAGGTGTGAGCCGGCCCCGGGCGTCCCCAACGAGCAGGGCCTGGACCTTCCCCTTCCTCCTCTGGACGCCCCAGGTGGGGTGGGATCTCAGCCCGGCCCGGCTGGGGACGCCCCGTCCAGGATTTGGGGGGCTCGGGCCCACTGAGCAGTCCCGGCCCGGCCGCTCTTCTCTGCCTCGCGTGCCCGGAGCGCGGTCCCCACCGTACCTTCCGGCCACCCCGCCGTGCCGGGCCCGAAGGTTCCGCCCTTCGCCCTAGCCCTGGTGCCCTCACCACCACCGCCGCGCCGGCCTACGGACGCCGGGCTCCAACCTGCGCTCGGCACCGCCTCTTCCGTGTTTGGAGCTGTCAGCTGAGCCGGGCGGATCCGGCTGGGGCGGCCCGGATTGGGGAGGGCTTCGCGCAGCCGCCGTGACCGCCCCGGGCCCTCGGCCGCCCCCTGAAGGCTTACAGGCGGCGCTGCCGGCGCGGTCACCGGCACCGCCCTGCACACCCCGCTCTGGAAATTAAGTTTGCGTGTGGGTCAGTTGATACATACGCAGATTCTGTGCCCAGGGGGCTCCTTTCCGTAGTTCTGGGATGGGCCCGGGAATTAAAATTTTTGCCAATCCCTAGAGGTGAACGGGAGGCAGTGGTCTATCCAAGACAGCCACTCCCGTAACAATCCCACACCTGCTCCTCCAGGTAGACTAAGAAAGCCTCCCCCATCCCAGTTTCTTTCTCAGAAATGCTGCCGGTCTTTGTAGGACCTCCTCTATGAAAGCATTTACCCATTGTTCATATTATAACAGTAATAACTACCACGTTTATGGAGCAGTTAGGATGCTTCAAGCACGTTGCTAAGTGCTTTATGTACATTTTCTCTTTATCTTCACCATAACCTTACGATTTTAGGTACTATTTGTTATTCCCACTTTATTAACGAGGAAATTGAAACGTAGAGATGTTCAGGAACTTACCAAAGGGTACATGATTATTGAGAGGCTGAGCAGGAATTAAAATTACATGCCCCCTACCTCACATCATATGCATAAATTAACTCAAAATGGATCAAAGACCTAAATGTAAGAGCTAAAACTGTAAAACTCTTAGAAGAAAATGTGGGAGTAAATCTTCATGAATTTGGATTAGGCAACAGTTTCTTAGATATGAAACCAAAAGTACAAGCAAAAGAAAAAAATAGATAAATTGGACTCAACACAATTCAAAACGTTTGTGCTTCAAATACACTATCAAGAAACTGAAAAGACAACCTACAGAATAGGAGTACCTGCAAATCATTTATCTGATATTCAGGATATATAAAGAACTCCTGTAACTCAACAATAAAAAAGACCAAAAAACCCCAATTTTAAATATTTTGAAGTTTTAGCCATGGTGTGGCATGGGCAAAGCATCTGAATAGACGGTTCTCCAAAGAAGATATATACAAATGGTCCAGAAGCACATGAAAAGATGCTCAACATCATTAGTCATCAGGGAAATGCAGATCAAAACCACAAGGAGAAACCACAAAAGACAGATAATAACAAGTATTGGTGAGACTGGGGGAAATTGGAACCCTCATACACTTCTGGGAATGTAAAATGGTGTAGCTGCTCTGGAACACGGTTTGACAGTTCCTCAAAAAGTTAAACATAGAGTTACAGTAAGACCCAGCAATTCTACTCCTAGGTGTATACCCAAGAGAGTTGAAAACGTATGTTCACACAAAAACTTGTATACGAATACACAACTACATTTGTACATTTGTAGTATACATAAATATTCACTACAGCAGCAGTATTCACAATAGCCAAAATGTAGAAGCAACCCAAATGTCCATCACTGGATAAATGGATAAACAAAATGTGGTGCATCCATACAATGAAATATTATTCTGCCATGAAAAAGGAATGAAGTACTGATAAATGCTGCAACATGGATGAACCTTACAAACATTATGCTAAGTGAAAGAAGTCAGACACAAAAGGCCACATATCATATAATTCCAGTTATGTGAAATGTCCAGAACAGGCAAATCCATAGGGACAAAAGCAGATGTGTGGTCGCTGGGGGCTGAGGCAGGAGTGCATGGGAAGTGACTGCTAATGGATATGGGGTGACTTTTGGGGGATGAAAATCCTGTGGAATTAGATAGTGGTGAGGGTTGCACAATTTTGCGACTATGCTAAAAACCACTGGGCTGTACACTTTTCATGGGTGAATTTTATGATATGGGAATTATATCTCAATAAGAAAAATTTTAGGTAGTCAGCACTTAAGTGGGTTGCTGAAATGTTGGTTCTGGTTCCTGGAAACCATCAAACTAATGTGCCCCTAATGACCTAATAAGCTCCTGTGTCCTCTTTATCATATTCTTCTCCCCCAAGAAAAGCAACTTGCAGAGGTAGGCCTCTAATCCAAGCCTACAGGATTCTAAAGGTCTTTACCACCACTGCCTTCCAGGCAGGATTGGCTTCATGGTCAGCCACCTGTGTAGTCCCACAGGGCCCTGTTCTCAGGAAGCCCTCAGGTTTAGAAGGGCCCTGCTCTTGGTCTAATGCTCTCCTACGGCCATCTTGAAATTCTTAATCTTCCAACAGGAAGCTCTCCATTTTCACTTTGCACTGGGCTCCACAAATTATGTGGCTGGTCCTGCACCCGGGAGAGAAGAAAAATCAAGTGGGTAAATCAGGGCATTGAAGGGGCTTACCTGACTGCCACAGAGGGAAAACCACTGAGATGCAAATAATCACTCGTAATTTTCCATACTGTCACAGGCCATATCCAAACCAGAAACATACTCCTTAAAGACGCAAAGATGGAAGAAGAGTTTCTGAAGCCATTCGCTAAAATCATTATTCATGTTAGGCAAAGGAAGTAAAACCAAGAGCAAAATGTATGGCAGCCCTACCTCTGGGTGTTCACAGGTGAGACCATGTATCCTGCCAGTGACCTCCCAGATGCAAAAAGTGAGGGAGCCTAAGAACCAGCTCGGGAAATTCTCACAAATCGGAGCAGGAGGTGAATTATGACATCATGTCATGACCTCATGTCAGAGGTCACAGGATGGAGGGAATAGAAGAGAGAATTTCAAAGCAGTGTTAATAATTTGGACTGAATATTTAGAGTCCAGTTTTGAGGCCAGGAATGGATAAAGAGAGTTTTCTAATAAATTTTAGTTTTAGACTCCATAAAAATAAGAGACTTTTGTGTCTTCAGTTTTATGTGCCCGTAGAGTTTTTTAAATTGAGGTTTCTCCATGTGCCCGGCCCTCCACTGTGTTAAGCACTTAACATGCATTATCTCATTTATTTGTTTATTTTAAGTTTTTTTTTTTTAAGATTTATTTCTTTATTTGAGAGAGAGAGAGAGCGCGCCTGTGAGTGGGGGGAGGGGCAGAGGGAGAGACTCTCAAGCAGACTCCCCACTGAGAGCAGAGCCCAACATGGGGCTCGATCTCACAACCCATGAGATCATGACCTGAGCTGAAACCAAGAGTCAGACGCTCAAATGACGGAGCCACACAGACGCTCCATGCATTATCTCCTTTAAATGCCCAGGTATTTAGCTGGGCGGAGGCAATTTTGTCTCCCCATTTTACAGATGAGGAAACTGAGGCACTAAGGAGTGAGGCGATTTGGCTGATGTCATACAGGGATGACATACAGGATAAGGACCAGCTCTTCGTTAGGATGACGCTCTCCTACAGACTCTAAGAGAATTGGGTTTGTTGGAGCAGAAATACAGAGGGAACAAAAGAGTTCTTGTCTTAAGAATTAAAGGGAAGGGGCGCCTGGGTGGCTCAGTCGTTACGCGTCTGCCTTCGGCTCAGGTCATGGTCCCGGGGTCCCGGGATCGAGCCCCGCATCGGGCTCCCTGTGGCGAGGGGTTTGCTTCTCCCTCTCCCTCTGCTCCTCCCCCAACTCATGCTCTCTCTATCTCTCTCTCTCTCACCCTCTCTCTCTCTCAGATTAAAAAAAAAAAAAAGAATTAAAGGGGAAAACCTGAAGGAAGTTCGGATTGGATTTTGTGACGCAAGGATAGGTGAGTATGAGAATACAGGGGGAAAGAAAGACTCACCCCCGTCACCGGTCCCCAAGCACAGTAGATGACGGAGCCTCAGGCCAGAAGCGGATGGAATGTGTGACCTAGAACAGAGGTCAGGACTCATGCATGGCTGGGCCATTGAGTAGAGGAGCAGGAGTGAGTCCGAATATGCTGGTGAGTGGAGGGGCCAGCAGGCTTTTATCAGTGCCTGTATTTGTCATCCGTCACCGGGGCATGCAATGGCTGTTCCAGAGACTGCTGAGCTCATCCCACCTGCCCCAGTGTTAACAGTCTCCTTTTCAGTGGCTACCATTCCTGAACAGCCCTGAAACTAGCCTTGACAACAGATGGGTAGCAGTGTGGAAGGAAAAGCCCTGCCCTAACTCTGGGATAGGTCTGGACAGCGGTGAGCCCCACTCTAAGACAGGAGTATCACTGGATTCCCACTACCATCTTGTCATGTGTGTTCACTCCCCATGTAGATCTTAAAAGGTTTCTAATCATCACATGGGAATCGGAAAAATTGGTTTTTCTTTCCAGTGGGGGCTTCAGGGTCAAAAACAAAGGAGGAGCTACTACCCTAAAAGCACAATTATAACTAACTAAACCTTAAGGGGCTACCCACATGCCAGGCCTTGCTCTAAAGGCTGTGTATTGACTACACTAAACCTTACAGAACCTGAAAACAAATTACCGTCATCATTATCATTCCTATTTTAAAACTAAGGAAACTGGTAACAGAGAAGTGAAGTGACTTTTCACTGTCACACAAATGCTTTGGACCCCGGCAACTGCAGCCCTGAGCCCACATCCTTAACCCCAATGCTCTGCTTAGATCAAGTTAACACTTTGCTTAAGGAAAAACAGTTAATTGGGTGTGTAAGGAGACACTGATCACCTGTGTGACCAGCCTCCCTGGTCAGGGCGCCTCAAACAGTACCTCCGGTCATCCCAGGGTTATATAAAAACAGACCCCTAAAGAGGCTTGGGGTGGCTGACAGCATAAAATGTTTTCTGCGCTTCTGATGCAAGGTAAAATTTGATTTACAGTAACAGGCACAGAATGATCATGTTTATACTTGCAACCTGGCATTTTATTATTATTCCCCTGAATAACAGTGAAAAGAGTTTTGTAACCCCAAGGTAACATGGCTCTGTAAGA